TTTATAAACATATAGTACTAGACAAGTTCTATATATTAAACGGTTCAGATTATCAAAACGGGACCCATGGTAGCCCCCACAGGCCCAGCTCTACTATCCAATTTAATGAATATTTTACTCCCTTTTTTTTTTCAATCACTGACGGGCCCATCACGTCATACCTTGTTAATTGTATTTTTTTTATTTGTATTATTATGTAGATATTATTTTTTAAATATTTTTTTTTAGTGGATAGTGTTAACTTTTTGACTTTTTGAGTAATTTTTTGACTTTTTGACTTTTATAGTGTATGCCAAACCAAGCCTTAAGCCTTGTTTGGAACATATTTTTTTACTATTTTTTTGACTTTTTAGTTAAAATATGATATAAAAAAATTAGTATATTTGGAATGATTTTTTAATTTTTTACGAAAAGATGCCAAAAAGTTACCAAAAAAACTAAAAAATCAACAACTCATACCAAAAAGTCAAATATTTCATTTTCTTTCTTCTTTTTGCACATCTTTTCGTAAAAATTTAAAAATTCATTCCAAACATACTAATTTTTTTTACATTACATTTTAATCAAAAAGTCAAAAAATTACTAAAAAAATCTGTTCCAAACAAGGGCTCAATGTGTAATTTAGGAGTTATTCCTAACATTGCTGCACCCATACATGTAATTCAAGAGATAAAGTGGATAGATTTTCTTCTATTATTTAGCCTTGGGGAAAGAGGAGGGAAAGACACAGATTTTAGAGGGAAAAGTTATAATTGTATTTCATAACTCAATTAAGTAAAATTCAATATTAAGTAAAAATAAATTATGTTTAATAACCATAATTTATATAACTTTAAAAAAAAATTAAATACCTCTAAAAAAATATTACAAAATTTTAAGTTACAGACTTCTTATTTAATATTGTATGTCTGCTAAATTTTCTATCTTTTATAATTACCTCACCATTAAAGTGTATCGTCATTATTTAACTAATGCCACCACCATTCTCACTCTACTATCATCACCACTATTGCCACCATACAAATCACCATCATTGCCACCATTAAATTGATTAAATTCAACACATAAATTTAATACATATTTAACAATTTTCAAATTTAAAAATTCAAGGGTTGTTTTTTTTTTTTTACGAAAAGATATGTAGAAAAATAGAGATTTGATATGACCAAAAAAATGTAAAAAGCTAAAAAGGTGCACTTTTTTAGTGCTAGCCAAACAACCTCTCAATATTCACATTTTACTACATAATTTTCTACTTTAAGCAAATAACACCTTAGTCGCTAGTGTAACAAAATAAGCCTATATTTATATAACAAAACAAATGTGTTAGAGACATTTGTCCTATGTGGACATTTGGATGGTCCAAATCAATTCTAAGGAGAAGATTCAACCATTGTCTGTGAGATCACATAGTACTAAGATTTAGTGCTTTTCTATTTCGAAATTTAAAATTCATTTTTTAAATTTCGTAATTTGAAATTTTGATGGCTGGCTTAGATTGGGCTTAATTATAGTGGGGAGTGCCTTTAGACATATATTACTCCTAATAATAAATGTTAAAAGGGATATATTCTCATTCCAATTGTTTATAAATGCATCCTAAAACTTGTCCACGGTATCTAAAACTAAACAAAATTGTTTGAGCATACTAAAATAAATACATCCTTCAGCTTTAGTCTTACCATAATCCACTGCTAACCACCTTTGGCCGATACCAATCACTTCTTGTCACAAATCATCTTCAATTATCACCTCTTGCTAAAAATCACCATTATTCACCACTTTTTGCTGAAAATCACATCTAACTAACATTTTGAGGGACTGGCAACCACCTTTAGCACAATCTTCTTTGACCATCAAGAAGCGCCTCCAGCATTGAACCACCATATTTGACCATTGACAAAACTTCATTCGGCCATTGGATGAAAGGTGATTGTTGTGCCATTTGCACAACAATCACTACTATTCGGGCAATAGAGCCCACTTTGAGTCTTACCTTGATGATTCAAATCATTCAATATTTAAGATTTTTCAAGTAGAACGTTCTTACAAAAAATTTAATTGATCAAATTTTAGTAGCACCATGACAAAATAAATTTTGTATTTAGTTTTTTACTCAAAATCACAGTCATCATTTATTTTTATTGATACAAAATTTATTTGATCATAGTGCTATCGATTTTCGATCAATTTGATTTTTTACAGAAATGTTACTCAAAAAATCCTAAATATCATACAGTTCGAATAATCAAGATGAAACTTGAGATAGGCCTCATCGACTGAACAACAGTAACTGTTGTGCAAATGGCACAATAGCTACCCTTCATCCTTGGCCATTACCTCTTGTCAACTACTTCACCAACTTATTTTCAAAACAAGTTGTTAAAAATACTTAAGTACCAAAATATGATTTTTGTTTTTGTTTTTACCAAAAAATAATATAAACATGTTTGATTTTTTTATTAAAAAAAATGTGAAAGTTATCAAATAGTACTTTAGAATATTTTATTAATGTTGAAATTTTTTTTGACATAACATGTTCACAAAGACGCAATAACACAAAAAATAAAATAAATTGTTTAAACTAATATTCAGAAAATTCTAATACAAACTCGATACGACATGACATGAACACAACTAGTATGATAAAATGCCTCCTTAAAAAAAAAAAAAAAAAAAATTCTAAAAGTTTGCTTGTTCTTCTTGAGTGATCCTATTTTCACGTTTTAAATTTTTAGTACCCATTTTCTCTCAGTACACACTAAGGGTTGGTTTAGGATGTTCTAAAAAAGTACACTTTTTAACTTATTGGCTTATATGGGTTGGGTTTGAGTTGGGTTTGATCTGATGTGTTAGAGAGGTAATGTGATTTAAATAAGATGATGTGACTTAAATATGATAGTGACTTTTTATATTATTTAGTTTATACCAAACCAACCCTAAATAATTAAGTGCATGCTTTCATCTTATATGAATCATCCAATGACCATATTTAAGCAATATGATCTCATATATATATATATATATAAGCATAAATTTGAGTAAAAATTTCATTAATGACAAAAATAAATTTGACAATTATAAAATATTAATGTTGAAATTTTTGAATAAATATTTGACAGTGGAAAATATTTGGAAAAATTACAAATCAGTGATCTCTTAACAAAATAATTACAAATTAATAAAAAAATTATAATTATAATTATTAATATTCATAAGCTTTACCACTTATTTAAAATTATTTTTAACAAATTACACTTAATTGTAGTTTCCCTAAATATTTACATATAGCTAGAAATACACTAAAAACTTACCCACCACCGTGTTGCAACATATCCCATTGATTTCCCAATACAGTGACTTTTTTTTTTTTTAACATGAAAAAAAGGGTTCTGTAGTGTCATCATGACCCCGTTGGGCCTTAGCCCCGGAGTAGTTGATTGTCAGTTAGGAATTAACTCCTACCAAGTGAGGAACCCAGCATCAGGGCATCAATGGAGGGCAACCACACGCCGTGGCAGAGGACAGAGTTCGAGGGGAATATAAATGTTTTCTTAAGAGAGATTTCAAACGTCCCAGAAATCGACCCGAGCTCTCGGCTAGAGAATGTGTCGCATCCTCCACCAGGCCACCAACCCTGGTGGTCCCACGGAAACGGATGCAGAATAAGTGGTGCAGTTGCTAAATGAAGAACCAGGTACTAAATGCCCTTTCCATGGCATTGTGGAGGACTCAAGGATCATCTTGAGGGGATATGAGTGTACAGTCCAACATGTCCGCAGAGGAGGCAACATTTGTGCAGATAATTTAGTGAAACTTGTTCATTAATGACAAAAATAAATTTGACAATTATAAAATATTAATGTTGAAATTTTTGAATAAATATTTGACAGTGGAAAATATTTGGAAAAATTACAAATCAGTGATCTCTTAACAAAATAATTACAAATTAATAAAAAAATTATAATTATAATTATTAATATTCATAAGCTTTACCACTTATTTAAAATTATTTTTAACAAATTACACTTAATTGTAGTTTCCCTAAATATTTACATATAGCTAGAAATACACTAAAAACTTGCCCACCGTGTTGCAAATTCATATCCCATTGATTTCCCAATACAGTGACTTTTTTTTTTCTTTTTTTAACATGAAAAAAAGGGTTCTGTGGTGTTATCATGACCCCATTGGGCCTTAGCCCTGGAGTAGCCGGTTGTCAGTTAGGAATTAACTCCCACCAAGTGAGGGACCCAGCATCAGGGCATCAATAGAGGGCAACCACACGCCGTGGCGGAGGACAAGGTTCGAGGGGAGTATAAATGTGTTCTTAAGAGAGATTTCAAACGTCCCAAAAATCAACCCGAGCTCTCGGCTAGAGAATGTGTCGCATCCTCCACCAGGCCACCAACCCTAGTGGTTCCACAGAAACGGATGCAGAACAAGTGGTGCAGCTGCTAAATGAAGAATCAGGTACTAAATGCCCTTTCCGTGGCATTGTGGAGGACTCAAGGATCATCTTGAGGGGATGTGAGTGTACAGTCCAATATGTCCGCAGAGGAGGCAACATTTGTGCAGATAATTTAGTGAAACTTGAGCTAATCAACCTCTTGAGCTGCTCATTGTGAATGAACCTCCAGACGAAATTCGCCATGAGTTAGTTGCGGATTTGTTGTATCTGGATGGATGTAATGAGGCCTAGTCCTCTTGTTTTTCTTTTAATTTCCGATGTACCCAAAAAAAAAAAAAACAAAAAAAAAAAAAAAAAAAAAAAAAAAAAAAAAAAACCAAAAAACATAAACATGCCTAAGTAATTTTTAACCAAAATTTGAATGTGTGATGCCCTTCTATCTTGTGTTGTGATAAGCTATTGAATTGAACAAACTTGTGATGAGCTATTGAATTGAACATACTTCAATTGAGTGATCATTCATGAACGTGATCAGATGTACCAACACACAGTGTTCCAATTTTGTGATGAGCTATTGAATTGAACATACTTCAATTGAGTGATCATTCATGAACGTGATCAGATGTACCAACACACAGTGTTCCAATTTCCATTAACCCAATCGAACGAAATGCAAACCCTGGATTCGCGCTTGAGACTTGCCAATTGAAGGAAATGCAAGTCTAGATCAAGATCCTATAAAATGTTTTCCCGATCTCTATGAATTTTGGTTCACTCATTTCCCTAATGAATCGAAATCCAACACTCGTTCATGTGGTTGATCACTTCAAGGAGTACATGCGGCGAGAGCTTCATTCTTCTTCGATTTCGTCTCTCTCTCGAGGTTCAATGTCCTCGAGACCCGGTTCATCTTTGAAACTTTAGTCTAGTATTAGTCACGGTTCTGTGTAGGACTAATGTGGGAACAAAATTTCATAGGACTCCACAAAATGAAGGTAGCAATGTGTTTTTTTTTTTTCAACTTTTATGATTGTTTACGCAGTTGGGTCAGTTTCAATAATATGCCTTTTAGACTAGTGAATCGACAATTTACCAATTTTTGTAACCATTAGATTATGAAATTGCTTGTTGGGTTTCATTTGTTTATTCGTGTGTAATGTTTTTGTGATTTGCAATTTGATGCATTTGTTTATTGAACTTTTTAGGTTTTGATAGGATTGGATGGATACAATAACTTAATGCTTGCAATATTCTATTTGGGTGGCATTTGGGGAAGAAATGGCACGGATCTTCGCAACGGTGATGCACAGACAGCCGGTCTGTCACTATTTTGTCTCTCTGTCTGACATTTTTCAATGATAGTGATATTGTTGTTTTGTTTTCACTTGAATTAAAGGTTCTTGATATGTTATTATCAGGGGAGTGTAGATCCAAGGGAGGTGTTATATGCAATTCCTTTTTCACATTTCCTTAATAGTCCAGACAAATTTGCGGTTACTTATTGCTCTTAAATTTAGTATTCAATATGTTTAATTATTTTGCATTGAGATTGCCATTATGTGAATTAGTCAGAGCCAACCTGAATCTTTGTTTGAATCTTGATCAACTGTAAATTTTGCAAAAGTAATGATATATAAACAGATAAGTTATACATGAAATTCGTACGGAATGATGTGTCAAATTGTTATTCATCCATTTTAAACTAAGGTAAAAGACCCATGAAAGTGACTTGTTATTTCAAAATTGTCATTGACACAACATTGAGGTAGGCTTTTTTGTACAGAAATTTTGTTTGCAAATCACTTTCCAATTTGTAAATCTTTAATTTGTTCATGGAAACATTTTTTCTTGCTTCTGGCATAATTTTGTTTACAAGGTAATGTTTATGCTTTAAAAAAAATTAAAAAAACAGTAATTGCTTTGGTGCCGTATGGCAACGTTTACAGTTTACTATTTTTAATTTTCAAAAAAACATTAAACATGTTTATGTTTATTTTGGGTAAAAATGAAAACAAAACATGTGTTTGATACACAAATATTTTAAAATTTTGTTTTGAAAACAAGTGAAAAGGGTGGTTGTCGACAGTTGGAGATGGTAACTGGAAGTGGTTGTCAGCCGCAGGAAGTAGTGGTCAAAGATATTTGCCATTGGTGAGAGGTGGTTGACAGTGGCCGGAGTTGATTGATGGCCACAGGAAGTGGTGGCCAAAAGTGATTGCTGGTGGTCAGAGATGGTGGTCGACTGACTGTCTAAGGTGGTAGTTGAAGGTGGTTTTCAACAAAAAGTGGTGGCCGAATGAGGTTACTGTCGGTGGTTGGTGGTGATGGCAGGTGGTTGGTGGTTAAGGGAGGTGGTTGGTGGAGTAGGTCGTTGGCGATGGTTGCCGATAATGATGAGTAATGGGCGGTGATTGACAAAGGTGGGAGAAATAAGAAGAAATGAAAAATAAATAAATAATAAACAGAAGAATAAAACCAACTCTTTTGTGGTCTCAAAATTTAATAAATTTTGGAAACTGTTTACAACTTTTTGAAATTGAAAACAGAAACTAAACAAGTTTTTGTTTACAGTTTTCAAAAATTTTCTAAATAAAAAAATATAAACTATAAATATAAACGTTACCAAACAGGCCTTTATGTTCAATTGTGGGAAAGAAAAATCCACAAGCATCTTCCAAGTGAAAGACCTGATATTTTTAGTTATTTTAATAAATTCATTTGGGTACCTGCTGCAAAATCAGTTAGTCTGTTTTCTTGTAAAGTCTGCAACCTTTTATTGCATGTTATTAAATTACTGAGACATCCGTCGACGGTATGTTGTCTCCAAGAACTGAGGTAGGTTTATACTTTCACTGAGTTGATAAGTAGTCTATAAATTCACTTCAACTTTTCTATTTGAGCATACTTGTGCCTTTTCTTTTACTGTATCTACTGCTCTGATATTCCTATTCATCACTCTGAGTTAAGAGGTTTGCTTTAAATCTATGTCAACATTGCTCTTAAGCGTGCTTTGTTTACTGGGATTTATTTATGTGTTTTTCTTGCTTTTAGTTTTATGTGGACTTTGATAACATGTGTACACTTCCTTTGCTATAGCCCTATTTGGTTGTCAAAAAACAATCATGAATATGTTTTCTTATTCCTATGCAGCGCATGCAACTTAATTATCCTGTTCCCTGCAGGTTTTGGATAGGAAAAGTTGGTTGAGTCAGTTGCATTGAAAGTGCTTAAATAATACACCATAAGGTTTCTGGAGTTTACTAGTCATGGCTAAGAATGGTGATATGCCTGTGCAGGAGAGAAAGTGGAAGTTGCCACCTTTTATTTTCTTCAAAGATGCCAGGTACAGTTTAACTATGTTGTATTTGCAAATTATCTCAAGTTCTGCTAGTGCTACGTAGGTGGCAAAGAATTTGTGTTGATAATAAGAAACATGATACTGATGATTACGAGGAAAGCTTCAACCTTTAAAAAGTATCTATTTCTTGATTGTGACATGCTTAGCAAGATGAGTTCATCTCTTCAGATAGAGCAGACTGAGATTTGATACTTGCAGTTTAGCTCGGATTGTTTTGTTTTCTAAGCGGTGCATCATTTATTTATAATTCCAGGGAACTTTATCATTCAGTCTGTCAGATACTTTCTCTGAAAAGGAATGTAACAGATATATATGATTCTACTGGCTGATTTTTGTTCGGTAAATTGTTTTTTAGGCATATTTTCAAGTTGGATGCACTTGGGGTGGAGATACTGCAGATTGCATTCCCTGCAGCGCTGGCATTAGCTGCTGACCCCATTGCTTCTTTAATTGACACAGCATTCATTGGCCGCTTAGGTCTGTCTTTATGTTCTTTTTTGTTTTCTCTTGAATGACCTTGATTACTTTTTACTTGGATAATTTCTTGAGATAATTGCTCCTTGTGAATCAGGTATGCTTTTAGTTCAAATTGTGAGATCATATCTCACTTTGAGGGCAACTCTACCAGTTGCTATATATTGTGCTATTGCTAAAATTTATCAAAAAAAAAGGGGGGAAAAAAAATCAACTCTAGCAGTGTGCTATCATTGTGCCAAATTTAGCATGATGCTATCCACATCATTGTATTTTTAATATAAATTCAATAACTTAATTTACAAATAATTTTTTTTATTTTAAGATAACCTTTATATTAAATATTTGTCATTCAAAATAGAATTTGAAAGAATTCCTTCGGCAAATACTAATCATTGAATTTTATTTAATTCAAGTATGAATAAAGCTAAATGAATTGAAGTTTTAGATATATTAATTACTGAATTATAAGTTTAGTTTAACAATACTCGAATACATATAATTTGGTACATGTGGTAGAAATTAAATCATGCTAAAAAATAGCATTTGCATTGCTGGAGTGGGTTTCTCAAAATATTGCATTTTGATATTGTAGTGTGCTAAATTATGGCATTGGCACGAGTGAAACAGCACAATCTACTGGAGATGTTCTGTATTATTGCCTTCATGTATCAACAATACAACAAATCTTTGTATTTTTGTGGTGGTACCACTATGAAGATTATCAAATAAATTTTGTTCATTACAACAAGCTCAACAATCTACATGTTAGCAAGTTAGTAGTTAAATTACCATGTAGGTCAATGCCTCTCCATAGACTCGAACCTAAGACCTCACACTAGCACTTAAGTGCCCTCTCAAAACCACTTGGGCTACAGTCCGGGTCTTCAACCACATTTTTGTTCGTGTACTACAAAATCAGTTACTACTGGCATTTTTAGATGGATCAAATGTCACTGTTCGGTGTGTGGTCTAGACATGTAATTAGCCATGACTCACGAGGGATGCTGTTGTGCAATCTAGCTCATCGAGATCCCTTTGCAGAGTTTCATTCCTATAATAATTTATTCGGATGCAGTTTGTTGAGTAAATTTTGGTCCTTCAGATAATTTTTGTTATCTTATAGGTCCAGTGCCACTTGCTGCAGTAGGAGTCTCAATTGCTATTTTCAATCAAGCGTCAAAGGTTACCATTTTTCCACTTGTCAGCATTACCACTTCTTTTGTTGCTGAGGAAGATACTGTTGGTAGAATAAACAGAGAGGCTCTCAAAGATGAGAATACAGAAAAGATTTCGGCCAAAAAGAATGAAATGAAACAGTTGACACTGGAAGGTGTTGTGCTTGAGAACCTGGAAGAGGGTTTAGGCACAATCTGTGAAATGAAAGAGTTGATGCCAGAAGAAGGTATCGACCAGATAATTTGATCTACATATTGCCATTATGTTGGTGCATACTAGGTCATGTAAATTGGCTTTTTTAACCCTTGTCAAAAAAAATTTATGTTTATGTTTAGAACCTTATGAGGTTCAATAGCTTTATAGGTTCTAGGAAATTAGCAAATGCTGACTAAACCTATCATTTTAACATCAAGTTATTGCTTCTGTGCTTTCTTACTCAGATTTCAAAACAACTGGATACAAATCTCCAACTGTCACTACTAGCAGTCCAAAGAATAAGGCCAAATTAAAAAAAGAGAAGCGTCACATTCCTTCAGCATCTACTGCAATTCTTCTGGGATGTATCCTTGGCATCCTTCAGACCATATTCCTTATATTCCTAGCAAAACCGATCTTGAGCTTCATGGGTGTGAAATCTGTGAGTATCTCCTTTTTTAATTAAGCTAACTTGTGTATTTATTGTGGATGTTGTCCCTCTATGTTATAATTGTTTACGTTGCTGTTTCTTTTGTGTATACTTGTTACCAAACTTAGATTAACATTTTGTTTTAAATTTTTATTTATTTATTTATTTTTTTGTGATGGTTAATGTACTAAATAAATGATAACTTCAATTGGCCAAATTTTTGGTGAAAGAGTAGAAGTAGAACAGAGTTTCTAGGAAAATTGATCCACTAGCAATTTATATTTCTGAATGTAAACATTTTATACTCTTGTTCCATTCCGCAATTCAAAAATTGTTTTGCAATTGCTTCTATTAAATTTGTTCCTCCTAACGACAAAAAACTAAAAAAATAAAATAATGGATTTAAGATTAATGGCAAGCTAACAACGAATGAGAGTGTTGGGAGTAGATTGGCGAAAGAGTCATAGGGCATTAAAAACTATACTTAGTATAAGCCTAATGCTATATTGTAGGATCTCTTGGGCGGAGGGTCTGTGGACGTCCGATAGTTAGAACCCTCTAGGTCTAGTTCCACGAGTGCAATGTGAAATAGAATGAGAGTCTAAATTTGGCAAATCTATCGAAAATTCACTAATCACATGAAATGCCAAAAATAGACTACACCACCGGACTCAGAGTCACCACTTAATCTTTTGGGAAAATTAGGAAATCTATAACTCTTGCCAAAGGCCAGTGTCTGTCGTAATCAAAGTGTCTCGGTTTGGGAACTTAGGTATGAAGGGGGAAGATCATGAATTAAGCATCCCCACTCATCTAATCAAAGATCGGCCTCTTAATTCTAGATGAGATTCATTACCAATATATGCCTACGTTCCGATTATTAATGCTAAAATTACTATGTGAAACAAACAAGTATAAACTAAATCACTTACTTTTGAATGTTTTGATTTCATGAGTTTAGAAAAGAGTTTTAAAAGTGTAACTCAAAGAAAAGATGAGTCTACATGCATGGAAATCAATATCTTCCGAACTTTAGTGAAATAACCTCCATCCGCTGGCATCCAAAGAGATATATCAAGTAAGCAAGTAGCCGCATGGTAAGAATGCTAGACATAGTAAAGAAAACACACACAATTGGGATGTCAAGATGAAAGAAGCTCACCTAGTACTCCTCAGCACCAAGCCAAGCAAAAAGGATTAGAAAAACATGCATGATCTTAGATGCAAAGAAACTAATGCGATACACAAATATAACTAAAGACTTGGCTACTAACATGTGATATATGAACCATCTCAAGACATGGGATAACGCAAATAATTACATAAAAGATAAATAGAAGAGAGATAAACCAAGCCTTATGTATGAAAAATGGATGCAAAATATGAATAAATTATGAATAAAGAAAGATATGATGCCAAGAATATGGAAAGCTCTAAATGAGAGGGATAGAAAGAGATGAGATGGATATACATACATCTATACTAATAGAGAGCAAAATGACAAGGATAATGGAAGCGAACTATATTGACCAAGCTATAAGATAAAACACATGAAAAGCCACCAAGCATCACAAAATACTACATGATGATCATAGAAACAAACAAATGAAGAATGAAAATGAATCAAATCCTATGAAGCATCGACACTTCCCCAGGGCTTGTGTACGAGTGTCGGACACGAACACGCGTCGAACATGCTGTGGACATGTGCCCGACGACGCGTGTCCGTGTCCGACACTCTCTAATGTGCCCCCTATTTTTTTAAAATTTTTTTTAAAATTTTTCCAGTCGGACATGCCATGGACACGCCGTGACACTTTCCGGACGCGCGAGGTGGATCGAAGATGCCCTAATTGTTGGAGAAGAGACAGAGAAAGAGATCGAGGGAGGAGAGGAGACAGAGAAATAGAGAAAGAGATCGAGGGAGAGGAAAAAACCCAAACCTGTTTAGATCAATCGAAGAAGCCTGAGGTATTCTTCTTCGTCTTCTCTCTTCTTCTTCTCTTTGTCTTCTCTGTCTCCTTCATCTTCTTTGTTCTTCTTCTTCTCCTCCCTTTTTTGTTTCACTCTCCCTTTTCGTCTTCATCTTCTCTCATTCTCTCTGCCTTTTCTGATTTCACTCTCTCCTCTTTTGTTTCTCTTTTTATTTTTTAATTTTTTTTTGGGTTCTATCTTTTTCTTGATTCACCCGTTTCTCTCTCTCTCACACTCCCTTTTCGTCTTCATCTTCTCTCATTCTCTCTGCCTTTTCTGATTTCACTCTCTCCTCTTTTGTTTCTCTTTTTATTTTTTAATTTTTTTTTGGGTTCTATCTTTTTCTTGATTCACCCGTTTCTCTCTCTCTCTCTCTCTCTCATGTTTCTTTCTCCTTTATTTTCTTGATTTCTCCCCTCCTTTTTTTTTCTTTTTTCTTTTTTTTTAATCCTTATTTTTGTTAAACCTAAAATTCATAGAATACATTATTTTTATTTAAAAAAACTCATTTTTTTATTAAAACAAATTTAAGAAATGTGTTTATTAATTTTATTATTTTTGTAATTGTATAAGAATTAATGATTTTCTTTTTATTTTAGACATGTAATAAATAAATAAAATTATATATATTAAACATGTCCCCAACATGTCATGTCTCCCATTTTTTGAAAAATTGCATGTCCGCGTGTCCGTGTCGTGTCGTGTCGTGTGTTCGTGTCCGTGCATCATAGATCAAATCCATCATTCTCATCATAGAGGAGATGGGATGCTGGTCTTCCTCAATCACTAATGGATATAGAAAATCACATGATGATCATGGAAGCAAAACAAGGATGAGAACTGCCATAGATGATAGACTTCTCTGATCATCAAAGATATGGAATATCAATGATGATTATAGGAGACATACATAAAATGGAAGCCAAACAAGAAGCAAATCAAAGAAGTGAATATGAATTTACATCATCTCTCATGGAAAACAGTAAATAGATACCCAAAACCATGTTAAAAGTGGACGGAGAGAGTAGATTACAAGTCACTTCTAGGTGGAACAAGAAAGTAGAGAGAAGATGAAAGAAAATGAGATTGAAAAACACTTTAGTCAACAATTTAAGCGCATGGATCACCCAATTAATCCCACAAGACAATCCTAAAAGCTCATTAGAATATAAGCAAGGATTGAATTATGAAAATTAAAATAGTTTGGATGATGAGAAAATTGGTAAGAAAGTGATGAAAATTGAGAGAAAATGAAAGCAAACACAACAATTATCAAAACAAGCTATAGGGTAGGACTAGAACCCTCTATACAAGTTCAAAACTAATCTAAATTATCCAAGAAAATCAGAATATCGAGCGTGTTAAAATGTACCTACACCTACCACCACCTACTACCACACCTACTACACCTACCACCAATGTACCCTCACCTACTCCTCACCTACTACCCAAATCCTCTCCTATATAATAGGAATCCTTGTAATATCAATAACACAACACATCAAAATATCAATCAATAATATACATCAATTTATTTTTTACATGGTATCAGAGCAAGGTTGAGAACCTAGTATTTTCACTTCACCGGCGGGCGGCAGCCTCGCCTTGGCCGCCCGCCGGACCTCTCATCGCTCTCTCTACCCTCAAAACCCTACCCATCGTCGTCCTCGTCCAGCACTAAACAGTCGACCGACGATCTACTACACTGAACGGCGATTGGCTCACGAAGCTCATTCTTCTCAGCCTTCAACTCTTTAATCTTCTCCTGCAGAGTCAAGTTTGAATCCTTCAACTTTTGAGCATCAACTGTATCACCAGTCGAATAGCTTCAACCAAAATAGCAGCCTTGTCTGTTTTGGGAGGCCTCCCAGGCTCAAGGATAGAACCCAGCAAATCTGCATCGTATCGCATCGATGGCTTGTCTTCAGAACCGACTCATCATCGTCCCTTCATCAATCTCTCTCTATCTCTTCTCTCCCAAACCCATATCTGTATGTCCTCCAGAACCAGAACCAAAAGACCCACCTTGAATCTGAATCTGAATCTAAATCTGAACCTTCCAATCGCAGACATCCACGACATCCTCCCTGAGTACGGGTTCCCGAAGGGCATAATCCCGAACGTAGTGAAGTCGTACAGTCTGTCGTCAGTGAACGGGTCTTTCGAGATCGAACTGGAACAACCCTGTTATGTCCAGTTCGATAAGGATGAGCTTATCTACTACGACAAGAACATTAAAGGGGTGCTGAGTTATGGTTCTGTTTCCCATGTTTCGGGTATTCAAGCCAAGCAGCTCTTCTTATGGGTTTCTGTCACTGGCATGGATGTCGATTTCAATAAGGGTATGATTCAAGTTCATGTCTCCGATCACACACCGCAGACACACGAGGCACTCTCCCTCTCTCTCACTTTACTTTTTCAAACCCACTTGACTCGGCTTTGATCAAATGGGGCAGATCACACCCACAACGGAGCAAACCCAGTGGTGTTTGGTTGAGGTTTACGGGACACCGCCCCAGTTCTCTCTCCTGTGGCCTCGTTGAGATCGGGAAAGAGAGTGAGCAGCCCACGGGAGGACGAGGCCATTTTCTGGGCAACAGAGTGTTACAGACTATATCTCTCTCAGCAAAACGACCTCTCTTTCTCAGCAAAACGAAGAATTTTTCAGAGGTTTCTCTCAGTTTTTCTGTCTCAGTTTCTGCCTCCTCCGCTTCGGTTTATAAAGACCATGACACAAAGGCAGCCACGCGCATCGCGCGCCACTCGATGCTCGCCGACAACCTGGCACGCCTTTTCATGGCACGCCTTTTGATGACTCGGGCACGCCTTTTGATGGCACGCCGACAACCTGACACGACCATACAGTGTCTCTTATCCTCTTTTATTTTTATGTATTTTCTTGTTTTGTAACTCTCTCCAAACTCAAGTTGGTTAGTTCCTATCCTCCTTGAGTTTGCGGGGGGCTGTTAAAATGTACCTACACCTACCACCACCTACTACCACACCTACTACACCTACCACCAATGTACCCTCACCTACTCCTCACCTACTACCCAAATCCTCTCCTATATAATAGGAATCATTGTAATATCAATAACACAACACATCAAAATATCAATCAATAATATACATCAATTTATTTTTTACAGAGCGTTTGGGAGGTGAGAAAATGAGAGAGAAAGTGTTACAAAAACTAGAATTCAAGTAATCCAATCAATCTTACGGAGGGGTGGCTAATCCCCTCCATTATCCACAAGGCCCAATCACATATTAAACAATTAAATTCAAAATTTCAGAGTGTTTGGCAAGAGAGAAAATGGAAGTGAAAGTGCAAAGAAAGTTGAAGAACTTACTTTTAGTGATGAAGAAATGCTTCTTGATTAGAAAACCCTCTTTCAAGCACCCTCAAGCTTCTAGGATTAGACTTGAATTCCTAGCAGAAAGTAGCTTCAAGCTCCAATGGTGAATCTATAAGTGTAAGTATAGAGAGAAAATTTGAAAGCCTCAAAAGGCTTTGAGATCAAAGATGAGTGTCTCTATGCCTTGGTAAACCCTCTCCCCTTCCCAATTAGTGAAAGAGAGGTGAATTTATAGGCTGAAGGTTGCTTGATCTGTAATTCGCTCAAAAATTGCGAAGGTGACAAACTCACGTGCATGGGGGGCCATCTCCCCGAAACTGCTCTGGTTCTTGATAATTTTGTATGGCCATCCAAAAGATGCCTAACCTTCTCTTTTATGGCCGGCCAGCCAAAATATGGCCAGCAAGGCATAAAAGTTGTACGGCTAGACTAAATTTTGTACGGCCGAGACAAATTAAAAGGAAAACCAAGGTTTTTCGAGAGAATTCTTCTTCTTTCCATTCTTTCCCACTTTGTCTTTGCTTGGTTTAACAAAAATCACAACATTTTGATTGAAAAGATGAGCTTGAACATCATGGCAATGATCGGATTTATGCATGACAAAAGATCATTTTAAAAAAGGTTTTTAAAGGTCTAAAACATTTGGCCAAAACGGAAGAAAAATGTTAGGATCCGCTTTCAAACTTGAGCTCTATGCTGGAGAAATCGAAGGTAACACGCGTTCCGGATTTTCATCCTTGGGTGCTTAGGAAAGGGCGCCCAAGTCTTAAGGCGGGTCAAAATGGGATGTCTACGTATGCTTCTACATAATTAATCCCATTATAACATATTTAAAGATTTGCATCTAGGAATAATGAATTCAAACCCAGCGGTTTATATGGCTATGCTCTTGTCATACTATGTGTACCACATTCTCATTTTTGTTCCACATACCAAAATGTTACATGCATTATTAATCTTATGACATTGTAAACAGCTATGAATAATGAAGCCTTTCTTGCATTGTGCAGGGCTCCCCTATGCTAAATCCAGCACAAAGATATTTGACTTTAAGGGCACTTGGTGCTCCTGCTGTTCTCCTCTCTTTGGCCATGCAAGGGGTCTTTCGGGGATTTAAGGACACCAGAACTCCCTTATATGCCACAGGTAAACATAAATTTCTAGATTTATACATTATTTTCTTTTTTCTCAGTTCACTCTTTTCCTTTGCAAGAACAATCTCAGCAACTAGTAAACCATATCTTTTCTCTGGAACAAAACATAGTAAATATTCCCTCCGTCCCAAAATATTAGTCCCTTGTTCCATTTTTTATTATCCCAAAATATTAATCCCTTTTCACAAATCAAGGACTAAAATAACATGAATTTCCTATTTTGTCCTTCATTTAAATTCATTAACATTAATATACAAAATGTATATTTATGACAATCGATGTTCCCAAAAAAAGTCAAAGGGTAGTTATGAAAAGTCAATATTTTTGAAGTGTAATAATTGTACCACCGAAAAAAGTTGGATTTCCCAAAAGGGACTAATATTTTGGGACAGGGAGTAATTTTATAAATCGTGAATCTCATGGACTACATCAAAATTGTTATGAAGTCTCTTTTTAGTGCAGAAAGTAAGTATTTTAGACATCAAAATACACCCAAACTCCTAGAAGACATTTCAGCAAACTCCCTTTAATCTGGTTTCTGTCTCATGTAGTTGCAGGAGACTCACTGAATATAATACTGGACCCAATTCTTATATTTGTGTGCCATTTGGGAGTCAATGGTGCAGCCATTGCACACGTTCTTTCTCAGTAAGTTATAGTCAAAGACTTTCCACCATATAGTGCATATTTAAATGTAGTTTTCCAAGTTTAATGTCTTGATCTTCCAAAGACTCTTCTCTGACTATTTATACTTGTAACGTTTTTTCAGATATTTAATTTCAGTGATCCTCTTGTGTAAATTGATGCAAAAAGTTGTTCTCTTACCTCCAAGTGTCAAAGATTTGCAGTTCAGTCGGTTTCTTAAAAATGGTAAGGAGTTTAATGCACCCACTGTCAGAAGTTCTTTTTGTTTATTGCAGCCTAGATGGAATAAATACACTGTCATATTAAGGACCAAGTCTCAAAAGTTTCATTGATGAAATATTCAGAAGTCCATAGCCTTCTATTTTGTCTATGGCCTTCAGTTTACAAATTCAATTTTCTTACTTTTTAAATTGTCCCCAAAAATGTCGCCTTTTGCATGTGATCACTAATTAAAAGGATTAAGCAGTAGTATAGTTCTTATGAACAATAATATCATCTTAGCTATTGAATACTTTAAGTGAGAAAAGGTCATAAAACTTACGAATGGCTTGCTTTTCTCGTACTTGATCTTATCCAAATTTGTTTTTCTGAAATGAACAAGTCACTTTTTATGGATCAAACCTCCCTATTGACTCTCCTTCTTATTGTTTACTTTATGAATAATAATTCCTATTAACTTCAAGTTTAGTTGTCTTTTAACAACTTTTTTTCTGCTTGGACACAGGTTTTCTATTGTTGGCAAGGGTAATAGCTGTGACATTCTGTGTAACCTTAGCAGCATCATTGGCTGCGAGACTTGGTACAACACCTATGGCTGCATTTCAGATTTGTTTACAGGTCTGGATGACCTCATCGCTTCTTTCTGATGGTTTGGCTGTTGCGGGACAGGTATGGCCACCTGCTGGTCTTTTTAATTTTTCCACTTTCTAATATTTGGGAGAAATTCTTCTATTTATTCAGGGAAGACAATGTGAGAAACTCTTTTTTGTGTGTCTCCCTCCAATTTCTGACAACCAAAGAGAGCCTAACCAAATAACAACGAAACTCTGTATTTTTGTTTTTTTCCAATTGTGACATAAATTGATCAATCAATTAATGTTTTTCTCTCTCTCATTCTTCCAGGCTATCCTTGCTTGTGCGTTTGCTGAGAAGGATTATGTGAAAGCAAAAGCTGTTGCAGCTAGAGTGTTGCAGGTAAACCATTTTCCAATTATTAGTGTACAAATCGTTCTCTCAACAAACCCAATTGCTTTGTTACCCTCTTCAATTTTGATTATACAAAGCCTAAATATGTTTGAGAGGTTCTATTTTGCAGATGGGATTTGTACTGGGTCTGGGGCTCACTGTAGTTGTTGGACTTGGGTTGCAATTTGGATCTGGAATATTTACGAAGGACAAAAATGTTGTTCACCTCATTAGTATAGGCATTCCGGTAATTCCATCTACTGGCAAAATGGCTACTTCTTTTTTTTCCTCTATTGCTAAAACAAATTTACAAGCAAAGAAATATTTGTTTTCATATGTCAGTATTGTTACTTATTTCGTGAGTCTAAACTGAAATTTATGATCTACTCCCATCAGTTTGTAGCAGCTACACAACCAATCAATTCATTGGCCTTTGTTTTTGATGGCGTGAACTTTGGAGCATCAGATTTTATTTATTCTGCATACTCCATGGTAAGTATACAAGTGTTTCCTCCAGGCAAGGAACAAAAACATATTTTTTTAAATTTTGTCTATATATACTCCTTTTTAACTAAAAATTATTATTGTATCATCAGGTTCTGGTATCTGTAGTGAGCATTGCATCTTTATTCCTTCTTTGGAAAAGCCACGGCTTTGTTGGCATATGGTTTGCTTTAACCATTTATATGGGCCTGCGTGCATTTGCTGGGATTTGGAGGTAATTTCCTTTGTTAATTCCGTGAATAATTAGTCCATTTCAAGCACATTTCCAGTTCAAAACTGATGAAATTTTAGAAGGAAACTATAAATTGGACCACTTTTCTTATTTGACACATTTATACTCAAACCTGCCCTTGTAGAACCTCTATTGTCTGCTAGTTGAAGCAACATGCCAGAAATATGAATCACATATACTTATTCAAAATAAGTCAGATCATATCATATGTCTCAGATACCTATATTCCTCGTATACTTGCAGAATCCGATACATTCTAAAAGTATCCATAATTTGATTTTTTATTTATTTATTTTTTGAGACTTATAGTATACTCTCTCTAGCCCCTTAAGTAAGATTAGATGATTAGACTAAAAAGGATTTTCGGGAGCGAATGGATGAGATCTTACAGGAGATACCCGTAGGAGAGAACCTAGTTATAGGTGGAGATTTTAATGGCCATGTAGGCATAGATAAACTAGGCTATGAAAGGGTGCATGGTGGATACGGTTTTGGTGATAGAAATGAGGCTGGAGAGCGTATCTTAGATTTTGCGTTGCCTTTGGTGGCCAATACTATGTATAAGAAGAGGGAGGAGCATTTGATAACCTTTAAGAGTGGATCAGTTAAGAGCCAAATAGATTACTTTTTAGTAAGAAAAGTGGACCGCCTACAATACAATGATTGTAAGGTGATTCCTGAAAAGAGCCTGCCCTCTCAATATAGGTTTTTGGTACTAGATTTATGTTTTAAAGGGCAATACCAATTTAGGAAGGATGGTGGGCGTCGTAGGACAAGATGGTGGGATCTAAAAGACGATAAACTAGAAATATTTAAGAATAGAATGGATAAAGAAGGTACTTGGGACTTGGAAGATGATGCTAACACTATGTGGAACTCGATGGCCAATTGTATGAGGAGAATCTCTAGGGAAGTGTTCAGACAGTCAAAAGGAACGGGACCCAGCTCTAGGGAAACTTGGTGGTGGAGGGAAGACGTTCAAACGGTAGTTAAGACAAAAAAAGAGTGTTTTAAAAAGTGGAAGAAGGATAGAACTGAGGAAAATTTTGAGAGCTACAGATTGGCTAATAAGGAGGTCAAGAAAATAGTGAGAGAGGCTAAGTTGAAAGCTTAGGATGACCTATACACTAGACTAGATAGTAAAGAGAGACAGAAGAGAGTATACAAACTTGCTGAGATACGGGAGAGGAAAACAGGAGATTTTAATTAAGTTAAGTGCATCAAGAGTGAGGATTCTAAGGTATTGGTGAAGGATGAAGAGATTAAGGAGAGATGGAAGAATTATTTTGAGAAACTATTAAATGAGGAACATGGAGGTACGTCAATAGGGGAAGAAATAGCCAGTAATACGATAAATTAAGACTATAGGTTCTATTGCAGGATTAGGAACTTTGAAGTGGGGATTGCACTTAAGAAGATAAAATAAAATAAGATTTTAGGACCCGATGATATCCCTATTGAAGCTTGGAAGTGTTTGGGTAAAAAGGGAGTTGCTTAGAAAAATTTTGTTGAATAGGCTGTTTAGCAAAATTTTGTTGACTAGGTTGTTTAGCAAAATTTTGTTAGCTAGGAATATGCTAGATGAGTGGCGGAAGAGTATTTTAGTGTCAATTTATAAAAATAAAGGAGACGTCCAGAATTGCAACAACTATAGAGAAATTAAGCTAATGTGTCATATAATGAAAGTGTGGGAGAGGGTGATGGAACGCCAATTGCGAGATATAACAGAGGTGTTAGAGAATCAATTTGGATTTATGCCTAGAAGGTTAACAATGGAAGCGGTCTATCTTTTGAGGAGAGTAATAGAAAAGTGTAGAGAAAAAAAAAAGAAACATTCATATAGTGTTTATCGACCTTAAGAAAGTATATGATAGAGTGTCTCGGGATATAATATGGTGGATGTTAGAGAAGAAAGGGGTGACAAAATGTTACATTGATGTGATTAGGGACATGTATGAAGGGGTGGTGACCACTATTAGATCACCTGCTGGAGAGACAAATGAATTTCCTTTCACTGTAAGGTTATACCAAGGATCTACCTTAAGTCCTTATCTTTTTGCTTTAGTTATGGATGAGTTGACGAGAAATATTTAAGATGACGTGCCATGGTATATGTTTTTTGCAGACGATATCGTGCTAGTGGATGAAACTAGAGAAGGAGTTAACACAAAGTTGGAGATTCGAAGAAAAACACTTGAATCTAAAGGATTCCGGATAAACAGAACTAAGACAGAGTACATGGAGTGTAAATTTAGTAGCAGTAACAATGAAAGCAGAAGAGAAGTAAGATTGAGAATTAAGAACTGCTTAAAAGTGAACATTTTCGTTATTTAGGGTCGATCATCACAACGGCGGGGGAGATTGATGCGGATGTGGCCCATAGGATTAAGGCGGGATGGAGTAAGTGGAGAAGTGAGTTTGGGAAATTGTTCGATAAATGAATACCCACTAGACTAAAAGGTAAGTTCTATAGAATGGCTATTAGACCAGCGATGTTGTATGGGACGGAGTGTTAGGCAACTAAGAAACAACATGTAGATAAGATGAATGTGGTTGAGATGAGGATGCTAAGGTGGATGTGTGACAAGACTAGATAAGACAAAATTAGGAACGAGTGTATTTGGGAATGGGTAGGAGTAACACCAATAGAAAATAAGTTGAGAGAGAATCGATTGAGATGGTTTGGTCATATTTAACGGAGACCAACAAAGGCAGTAGTGAAGAGACACGATGCAGTGAGGGTAGATGGAAGTATTAGGGGACTGGGTAGGCCTAGATTAATGTTGGCTAGCGTTGTAAATAGAGATATAGATCTACTTAATTTGACTAATGAAATGGCCTTTGATAAAGCCGCGTGGAGAAAAAGGATTCATGTAGCTGACTCCATTTGATGGGACTTAGGGCTTGGTTTGGTTTATCATATACTCTCTCTAGTTCACGTATCCAAACTATTATGAAATTAAGATTATAATAATTCTTGCATAGCATTAAATGATTGTTAGAATAAACACAAGAAATGTTTTCAGTAACTTCTTGAAAGAAAAATATATATAGTGCGATTAAAATAGTACCTTACTTTTTCAAAATTTATCTAAGTGATATATCTTAAATGTGTCCTACATCTGTATCCATACTTAATAGAAAGTAAGGATAATATATATATATGTATAACGATACTAATCAGGATTTAACAATTAAATAAGCAAGGAACTTGCGTACAACATTTTTACATATAATACTAGCGTGAAAGGGAAAAGCATAAGGGTAATATACAGAGTTTAAACTTGATATTGAAATGAAATTTTCATAAAATGGAGAAGTCATTCTTTATGTTATTCGTTTTGTCAACAAGTTGTGTTTCCCTTTCTTCTTAGCTCATAGGGGTGTGGAATAAAAGTAGTTTTACGCATTGCAAATGAACAAAAACATAATAAAATTTGGTAGTATTACAAAAGAATGATTATGAAAAGTAGTCGTAGAAATTTGGTTGGTATAAGCACAATTATGCTTTAATATTTGATTATATGGAAAAAGAAAACCACATTTTGTTGACCATTCATTCTGTTTTTCGCATGCTCAGGATGGGGACTGGAACTGGGCCATGGCGCTTTCTCAGAGGCCAATCATGGAAATAGGATATGAAATTTGAGGAACTTATATAACTCATATAATGTAGTATCATATCAATGTTATTTCCTTTTGTTGGAGTGGACAGATTTGTGTCTGTACATGTTTTTTTGCACCCTTGGATCTGTATCACGGCTAGACGGTTACTGGATAGACTTTGTTTCTGTTCTTGTATCTGTAATCATGGTTCGACCTGGTAAAATAATTTGTGTGTATATATTTACATGAGAACTAATAATCCAAATGTTATTTGCTAATGATGTGATGATTTTGGAAACATTTGATCAAAGAGTCTTCAATGAAACCCCTAAATTTCTTTGACAAGAGCAATGGGTGTATAGACAATGCTTCTACAGTGTTGTTCCTCTTATGCCTAGTCTCTCGAGATGGGTGTTTTTCCTATCCCATTTGTTGTGAACAAAATAGATTTTCACATGATAACACACAGATGTAAGGCAAAGGGTGAGTCTCACATGTAGGGTTTACTATAAGCGAATGTAAAAAATGTTAGTATTGAAGGGAGCAGCTCTTGGAGTTGACTACTACAAATATTATGGTGTAAAAGAGGTGGCTATTGTGAGGAAATTTAGTGAATACAACACTACTTTGTCAAGAAGAAAATAATGCTTCATTTGGGTACCTTGGATTTGGAATTGGAGATCAGTCTAGTTATAAAAGAGAAAAGAAGAAAATAAAGTGAAATACGATAAATATATTATTTTATATTTCTCTTTCTTCTGTTTTTTGATAGGCAAGTGATTAGTTTTATATTTAGAAAAATGAGATATTAGAGCAACTCCAAAGGGCTGGCTAAAAGAGCCTGTTAGGCATTTTAGCCAACCACAACTCATTTTAGGCCCTCCAATGGGCTAGCTAAAACGTTGGCTACTTTACCATTAATGTTACCCGCTGGCTACCTTTGAAGAGCATTGAATCACTTTCCAAATCATATTGAAACCATTTTTCCCGCGAAATTGTTTCCCGCGAAGTCATTTGGCAACTCTGCCGTTCACATCTCTGCAATTCTGTCGTTCACATCTTTGCAGCTCTCTTCTTCACCAAGGTATGTATCCTTCTCAATCTATCTCTTATCCCCCTTCATGATCAGCAAAACCCCTCTCTTCCATCACTCCCTCTTCAGACCACCTACCTACGAAATCCTATGTTGAACCTTCCTTTTCCCATCTCTGCAACTCCCTTACTCTGTACCACCAAACCCTATCTTCTGATATCTCTTATATGTGAAACCCTCAACTCCCTTACTCTGTACTACCATACCTTATCTTTTGATATCTCTTATATGTGCCAAACCTCTCTGCAAAACCCCTATTTCCCTTCATATGATCCCCTTTCAGCTGGATTAATTAATGAAATCAAGAATATATATATATATGTGTGTGTGTGTGTGGGGGGGGGGGGGGTGGGGATTGGTTCTATTTTGAAACATTGGTTGTATGTGATTAATTTTTACAGTAACAACTTTTGGTAAAAATTGTATGACAATGATTCACTATGTTTTTAAAGACCCAAAATCTATTCAGTTTAGTAGATGTATGATTTTTGTCTTGTTTGTTTAAGTTTCAGTTTGAATTTCATGGTTGATTTGATTCATTGGGTTGCTGGAATTAATGGGGAATGAATGGAATTGTAATTTGGGTAAAAAATAAATAGAATAAGATCTGTTTCTTGGGTTGTGTCTTTGTTTAATTTCTCAGTGAAATATCCATATCAATTCTAGAAAATATTCTAGATAAGTTAGTTGCTCCCCTTTAACTGGTTATATATGCTTCACACATTCATTATTTCGGCTTCGAACCTCTAAATCATTTGACGTCACACATTCATTACTCTATCTATTATTATTTCATCATTTATGAGCACTTTTTGCTTTGTTCTCTATAAAATTTTAATTGTTCTGTTCTCTATAAATTTTTACTCAATTATGTGCTTTGTACTGTATTAAATTATCAACTAATGATTGAGAAAAGGAGTCACCATATCCCACCCCATAAGATTTTCCCAAAAAGTGTTGCTTTTGGCATTTTCAATTAAATGCTTAAGGAATACATATGAGATATGTTGCATTAAAAGTCTTCATAAAAACAGATGGCAGCACACCAGATGTAGAAGTACACTCTTGCAAACACCATGCAAGGTGAATCAATATCTTTGCAAGGTGCCTTGTGTAATAGTTGTTCTGTGCTGCACAAGGAAAGAGTTTTCTATAAAGAATTATTTATTACACAATTTATTTTCTTTCTTTGGTTCCAATACAAAAGTTTTTAGTTTTGGACTATTGTGTGTGGTAGTATAGGAATCAAACTGGAGTGTTCCCCAAAAAATGAACTAAAACTTGAAACAGTAAAACAAAAAGGTTCCCAGGTGTGTTCTTTTTTGGTGCTGAAATCTCTTCAGCCCTTGGGTTTTGTTTGTTTTGTTGCTGGTTTTCTTTGGTTTTATTTCTTTGCTGCTATTTTGCTGGTTGTTGCTTTGGGCTACACATGATTAACCTTCCTCTTGGGTGCCAACCTAGTTGGGATCCATTAGTTAGATGATGATGCATTTTTTCCCAAAGTTCTCTTCTACCCTTCTCTTTTATTAATAAAATCATTTTCTTTGCTGATCAAAAAAAAAAAAAAAAAGGTAGAAAGAAGTTGTTATTTAAAAATGTGCCAAAATAGTTCTAAACTATACCTTTCTATTATGGTTTGTTAATTGGGTTGTCTCTTGGATGCCTAATATTATATCCTAATTTATCTATGTTCCTCAAACTCAATAGTCTTCTGAATCAGATGAAAGGGAATTGAAGAGGAATCTCCCAACTAATTAGACTGAATCAAATATTGGTGTACTAGACAAAGAAATGATCAACCCTTGTGAGTAAGGACCCTGTGAACTTTGTTCATCAAACATGGGTAGAAACTTTGGAATTTAGATGAATAATTGGTGAAATAACTCAAAAATGAATCAATTCCAATATTTTGCAAGATGAGTCTCCGTAGTGGAAATGGAGTTCACATGCACGGTGACAATTGAATGAGACCAAAAAAATGATAATTTTGGTTTCCTTACAACTGCTTCATTACTGCAACTCAAGTTTGGTTTCCTTATTGATTTTGATTTCTCCAATGTTGCTATTGTTGTCATATTGGTTAAGAGTGGGAATAATTCCACCAGTTCGAAACATTTTCATCCAGTCGTAGTCAAACTTCTTTGATGAATCATTGGTCAGCAATTCAACTTGCCACAAATAAGTTTTGTGGGTGCTTTGCTCAAATCTAGAGGTTGAATCAACGTGGTTTGACTGAGAAAGATAAGGTGTTAACGCCTTTCAAGATTTTTATACATTATCATTGTACTTGTTTGATTATAGAATAATTAGTGTTCTTTTATCTATTTTTCAGATTTGTGATGCGAAGAAATTGCACAAAGAATTGTACAAATTGTCATTTCCATTTGAACATTGTTGGCATGAGTTAAGAGATCAACCAAAATGGCAAGAAGAATATAGCATGAAGAAAAAAAAACCAAAAAAAAGGGCAACTCCTGGCGTTTGTTCTCCTTGTACACCAGATTCAATCAATTTAGGGGACAATGATGCCTCACATAATGACAATGTAGACTTGGAAAGACCACCAGGTAGGAAGATTGAAAAGGAACGTTTGAATAAAAGAAAGAATAAAGATCATGGAACTAAAGGAGGGTCACTGTAATGACCTCGACCTCTGATTAATGCTAATTCATGATTAATTATGCCTAAAAAACTGTGTTGGAACTAATTTTTGAATGCTTGAACTAGTAGTAATTTAGGCCAAGTTTGGCATACTTGAAAAAAGACAAAAAGTCACTACTCTATTTAAGTCACATCATCTTATTTAAGTCACATCACCTCTCTAACACATCACTTCAAACCCAACCCAAACCCAACCCATATTTCATAAAAAGTCAAAAAGTACACTTATTTAGATCGTTCCAAACAACTCCTTAATTACTAGGTTGAATTCTTGTTCAATGCTTGCTGAGATGCTCCATGAATGTAAATTCTTCTTGAATGCTTCATGTATGATGGACAGATTCGCTAGTTAAATATTTATGGTTTGTGTGGAAAGCAAGAAATGATTGTAAATTTAATGGGACTCAATTTGATTGGGTCAATTTGTGCAAACTGGTTAAACTTCAAGTTGCTTTGTGGCTCAAGTATAGTCCTGGTAGTGTTGATGTCTCAGTTGATGATATTATCTTCAGGATGCAATCTTTGCGGGGATGCTAGAGCATAGCTTGTTGCATGAATGATTGTCAGGAAATGAAGTGGTGTCTCATTTGAAGACTTGTGGGATGTGGTTTGTTGGTCTGTTGCTTGCTGTTGCTGTTTTTGTTTTGTAGATTGCTAAAATTGGGAAATGAATTGTTGATGCTATATGGATTGCCTTGATGCATTTTACTAGGTGTCTTTTGGCAAAGGAGTGTAGTATTGGTTGTAGTGCTACTCTGCTCTGTTGCTTTGTTGATATTATTATGATTGATTTTGTTTTATTTTGTTTTGGCTTCAATCATAAGCAATATGGAAATTTAGAAAGTTTGGTGCAGAACAAAGTTAATTTGTAGTTAAAATTCCATAATTAAACAAAGATTTTATCCAAAATTTATTTATTTACTGAAGAAGTGTGGTCATATATTAGAATTATTAGACTAGTTTCTCAAATTAAACTAGTTTTTTTATTTTTATTTTTTATTTGAGAGTTCATTTTATAATTTCTAGGCTCAATCTTTTAAAAACATATTCAAAGCACACAAACTCGTGTACATATTAATTTTTATACACAATATTTAATAGTATATATTTTTAAATATGTTAAAAAATATTAAATGTTTTTTTCATACTTGTTAAAAAAATATTATCCCAAATGCGCATTGACAACTATGTTAACACTCCGTGCGAATGTGGCATTCCATGATAAATGTAGTAATATATAACATTTATTGTTTTAAAAATTGGTTAAATTAATTTAAATGAATAGTTAAAATAAAGAGTATGGTTGGAGTTGCTCTTATAATGATGCTCAATTCATGACTCTCAGAGTAATGACACCAAAGTCAAAGGCTAGGACAAAATAGAATGCCTAGCCTAATAAGATAAAATTTCCACAACCTGAGAGACTAACATGTCCTTAGGTAAAACAAGGAAAGAGGTTTGGCAAGAAAAAAAAGAAAAATAAATATATAAAGTAAATCTGTCACCCAATATAGACATGTAGCCACA